GGCTCCCGTAAAGATTTACAGCCTTGGAAACCCTGTACAGGGTCACTATGAGTCGTTCTTACTCCACGGCACATGACCACCACCACCATTACCACCCATATATATATATATAGTTGTTGTTGTTAAGCACTGTTGAGCCGCCGAGTCGGTACCAACTTATGTACCTTATGTATAACAGAATCAAACATTGCTGGTCCTGCACCAACCTCACAATCATTTTGTTGCCACTCTTAAGCCCATTGCTGTTGCCACTGTGCCAATCCATCTCATTGGGGGTCTCCCCGTTTTCACTGACCCTCCACTTTACCAAGCATGATGCCATTCTCCAGAGACTGATCCCTCCTGATAATATGTCTAAAGTATCAGAGACAAAGTCTGGCCATTCTGGTTTTTAGAACATTCTAATTGTACACAGATTTCTTTGTTCTTTGGTGATCCATGGTACTTTTAATATTCTTCTCCAACACCACAACTCAAATGTATCAATTCGTCTACAGTCTTATTTATTCATTGTCCAATTTTCACATGCATAAGAGGCTACTGCAAATACCATGGTTTGGGTCTGGTACACCTTAGTCCTCAAACTGACATCTTTGCTCTTGAACACTTTAAAGAGGTCTTATGCAGCAGATCTGCCTAACGCAATACATCTTTTGATTTCTTGACTGCTGCTTCCACGAAGTGTTGATGGTTGATCTGAGCAAAATGAAGTCTTAGCAACTTCAACTTTTTCTCTACTCATCATTATGTTATTTACTGGTCCAGTGGTGAGTATCTATGTTTTCTTTACATTGAGGTGCAACCTATACTGAAGGCTGTGGTCTTTGATCTTCATGAGTAAGTATGGCTGTATAAGCAAAATTTGGAGATGGACGAGGTTACCATGAGTTAGAAGTGATATACGTGTATATTGTTAGTTCCAACTCATGGTAACCTCATATCCATCTCTAAATTTGCTTATACTGTCCTATTAGTATCAAAACTTTTTCCATGGAAAAATAGGACCAAGAATTAAGCATCAACATTAAAACAGACTTTCAAGTAAATACATGTTTGGCTGTCCTATAAATGTTGTTGTTGGGTGTATTGAGTCTGTTTTAACTCATAGTGACTCTATGTACAACAAAACAAAATATGGCCCACTCCTGTGCTATCCTCACAATTATTGTTATGTGCAAAAATGGAAGTACCAAGCATCCCTCCCACAACTCTCTCTACTCCTCGGTTGGGCTCAAGAATTCATTGCAATGACCACCCAGAATTCAGACGCCATATTCACAGCTATGGGGTTTATACAGGTTACAATTTGAGGTCAGAATGCTCAGGGCACAGTTGTTCCAGTCAGTTGCTGATAAATGCGCATAGAACACACCACTCCACCATCAGCCTCAGTCTGAAGGCACTCGGCTCTAGCTCCATGGGTCAGCAAACCCAGCTCCCCTACTTAAGTGTCTGGAGGCACTTCACTTTACAAGCAAACTTGCTTCCCAGAGTCACCCAGTTTTATTTGCTCATAGATTGGGAAGTCCACTGCTCTTGTCTTGTGGTTCTTGACTCTGCTGGGCTGCTCGTCTACCACTCGTCTGGTGTCACAGTTTTCTGTCACTAGGTTGAGGAGGTTCAAGGCACAGGGATCTCAGGGTTCAAAGGATGTGCTCCACTCCTGACTCTTCTTCTTTGATGGCAGTGAG